AAAAAAAAAAAAAAAAAAAACGCACCCCTATGGCCTCCAGCCAGGGTGGACCGGTCTCACGGCACCCCCACTCCATCCCATATATCACTGAATGTCTCAAATGCGGTAAGAGTTTATTCCTTGTTCACGGAACACTGCTGAGGGTGTAGATTTGTGGGTAGGGTGGCTTCCCCCAACATAGTTATTCAGGGACCAAGGTTCTCATAAACGTTTGTGATTCCCCACCTCGCCCAGCACATGTAGAGCGAGCCTGTGGGTGTAGGATGCTGGGTGAATCGCCAGAGGAAAACTGGGGATCTTCTATTATGGGCCCTGAAGGTACTACATTCATGGTCTTTCCATTTTGTCTCCAGCTTAAGGACGCTTGGATTTCTTGCTGATATCACCAACATTATGAGAGTGCCCCCCCCCAAAAAAAAAATCCAGAAGGGAGGATCTCAACTTGAATCTTCTGCTATGTTCGCTCCTAAAGGAGAGTTGGTGATTCCTGGCCGGATTCTTCAGCTGGAATGCCAGCAGGGTTGGGAGTGTGGGAAGCCCCTGAAAACCGAGAACGTGGCCGTGGATTGAGCCCTGTTCACAGCCCGCCCAGGCTGCCCTGCCTGGCATCCGTCTCCAGCAACAAGCCTTTCCCTAGCATCTGAATGTGTCTGAATGTGTCTGGCAAGCGGATATTCTGTGGTTTGGGGGGTAGGGGAGCAGGGTGGCCCCTGAATACCCATCTACCCCCTCGTCTGCGAGTCCTTGGTCTTAGCACATCCACTGATCCATTCATTCAGCAGTTGCTTATCAAGTGTCTGGCGGTGATGTGTTGGGCTCGATGCTGGTGACCTCAAGCCGGGCAAAAGCCAGTCCTTGCCCAGTCCAGTGGCCCACAGCCTACCGGTCACAGTGGGAAGTCAAGCATCTATAGTACAGTGTGGTAACAGACATGGGCAAAGATACTGAGCTCCTTTTAAAGGAAACACCCCTGAACCAAGCCTTGAGTTGCCCAAAGCCAGGGGACAGTGTGTGCGAAAGTATGGAAGGACATTCAGCTGGCTGAGTGTGGCAGGAGGGCAGGGCGTCCCCTGCGGAGTGATGAGGGGGGTGGCAGGAGGGAGCTCAGGCAGGACCCAGGAGTTGACGCTCACCCTGCCAGCGGCAGAGGATTTCAACTCTCGGTGGCAGGCGGGTTGGGCTGGACAGTGAGGAACGGGTAGGTGGGTGGGAGGAAGGTGACTGCATGTACAATGGGATCAACTAAGAAGGAGGGTGAAGAGCTGCTTGTGGGGACATGATAAGAGGCAGAAAATCCAGCTAGCAAGCTATCATGTGAACAAAATGAGAAATAACACGGCCTGAAAGAAGACCGCGTTGGAGGGAGTGCAGAGGACATGGAAAGGACCACAAGGTATCAGAAGAGCGTGGCAGTTTATTGGATGTGGGAGAAGCAA